CACAACAAGGAGGCATGGCCGCCTGATTCTCCCGCTTGAGGGGAACGGTGTATACCGTCAGTTGCCAGCCGTCAAAGCCACGACTGTTAACGCGTAATCACAGTTTCGAACAGCGTCAGATTGCTAATAGGGAGGAATGCGCGCGGAACGGGCCGCCGAGAGTCGACATCACTTGCTCTCCGATGCATCGCTGTCAGCAACTTGATGCTGGAATTGGGCGCGAATGGATCTGAACCTAAACATACCGCCATCATCCCCTCAGTGCGTGTGCCATTTGTTATGCGATGATCGGAGCCTGCGCAGCCCGAGTAACGCGTGTCTGTACCCCAATCTGCCCTGCTCTCCTGTTAATTCAACGCGGCTCCCACATGGCCCATCTATAAGAATTCCGCAAAAGACGCTACTATCTTCTTAAAAGTAGCCGTTTTAATAAAGCATTAGATCGCGAGCCCTAGTTAGGGGAAATCGGAGAACGGTAAGGAAGGAGATGAACAGGCTTACTTACTTACCGGAGGTGAACGCTTGACCGGGTGTCTTAAAAACCAGCCCAGATGAAGTTTAGGACGCGCGTAAGCTCATATTCCCATCTGCTATGCTTGTTGCAATAATAGGATGCATGTCAGCTATGGGTACAATTGTATGAATATATTACTAGTATATACTATCCGCTGGTCGTAGTAACTATGCTTATTAGAATTAGCGTTCTTCGCGGTAGTTTACTGCCTCTAGCAGCAGTATCCTTACCCAAACTTAGTAAAAGGTGACACCGTTTTTGGTGGACAGAGGTGAGAGAGCGGAAACCAAGGGAAGCCCTGGTGTGCTCCGGGCTTCAAACAGAATAGTATAATCCCAGGTGCACATTTCTTGTTAAGATTAAGGGAATATGAGCCCATCACAGACTTTAATCGGCGTCACTTCTGACAAATGTTGGCGCCAGTGTAAGTGCCAGCACTACTAACGCGCAGCTACATTGTTAGCTAGTAGTAGCTGTATCCGTCTCGGCCTTATTGAGCCTGTCTTCACACCTACTGAAGGTGAGGAAGGGTAGATAATGCGGTGGTACCCGAGCAAAGTCTACTGCCACTTAACACCAAGTTAGGCGATGTTTTCTGGCTTGCACTGGACAAAGCGGCCAACGCTAGATCCATGCTGGTCTTCTTGACCCATGGTGACGATAGAGTGCAGTTGGCACTAATTACGTCTGCTTTCACTTTAAACTAGCCCCTTTAGCCAGTCACTATCACTGTACCAACTTGTTGGTGCATATGGTTAACTTCATCGAAATCGAGGGTAAGAGTACCTATTGGGGTCGCAGAAGGGTCCTTATGTATTATAACCACCTACTTACAAATATTAAGTAGGTTAAATTACACACAATCTTCAAGTTTTCTGCACACCAGTCGTCGACCCAGCAGAGATTTAATGATGGCATTGAACCGCAGAGGGGTCCTCGGAAGGCCACCGCATACAATTACCACTCAACTCAGTGTATTAAGCAAAAATGGCTTTTCAAGTTACCCACGGGAATAATCGCCTACTTTCAAATTTAAGTAGGGTGAAGTTCCACAAACTTCAAACTCCTTCACTCGTTTGCCTTTATTCTAGATGGGGTTAGTGGTACTACTAGAAAATGTACCTCCATGACCTCACCCGAGGTCAGGGCACACTCCCCCTACATACACGCACTCGCCGTTGGTCCGGTGGGGGGTTAGCGATGATATTAATGCATACTTCAGTGCCCCCGTCCGAGGTTTGAGTACGCGCCCCAACTTACCCTCGTACCTTCTTTATTTCATAGGATTATTGCGATCTAATTTGTTCCTTGACATGCCCCACC